TATCCTGACACAGCTCACTCTTGGAGTCTATCATGGTACAGCTCACTCTTGCAGTCTATCATGGTACAGCTCCCTCTTGGAGTCTATCATGGTACAGCTCTCTCTTGGAGTCTATCATGGTACAGCTCCCTCTTGGAGGCTATCCTGACACAGCTCCCACTTGGAGGCTATCCTGACACAGCTCCTTCTTGGAGGCTATCCTGGTACAGCTCCCTCTTGGAGGCTATCATGGTACAGCTCCCTCTTGGAGGCTATCATGGTACAGCTCACTCTTGGAGTCTATCATGGTATCATGGTACAGCTCCCTCTTGGAGGCTATCCTGGTACAGCTCACTCTTGGAGGCTATCATGGTACAGTTCCCTCTTGGAGGCTATCCTGACACAGCTCACTCTTGGAGTCTATCATGGTACAGCTCACTCTTGGAGTCTATCATGGTACAGCTCCCTCTTGGAGTCTATCATGGTACAGCTCTCTCTTGGAGTCTATCATGGTACAGCTCCCTCTTGGAGGCTATCCTGACACAGCTCCCACTTGGAGGCTATCCTGACACAGCTCCTTCTTGGAGGCTATCCTGGTACAGCTCCCTCTTGGAGGCTATCATGGTACAGCTCCCTCTTGGAGGCTATCATGGTACAGCTCACTCTTGGAGTCTATCATGGTATCATGGTACAGCTCCCTCTTGGAGTCTATCATGGTACAGCTCCCTCTTGGAGGCTATCATGGTACAGCTCCCTCTTGGAGGCTATCATGGTATCATGGTACAGCTCCCTCTTGGAGTCTATCATGGTACAGCTCCCTCTTGGAGGCTATCATGGTACAGCTCCCTCTTGGAGGCTATCATGGTACAGCTCACTCTTGGAGGCTTTCATGGTACAGCTCCCTCTTGGAGGCTATCCTGACACAGCTCCCTCTTGGAGGCTATCCTGACACAGCTCCCTCTTGGAGGCTATCCTGACACAGCTCCCTCTTGGAGGCTATCCTGACACAGCTCCCTCTTGGAGGCTATCCTGACACAGCTCCCTCTTGGAGGCTATCCTGACACAGCTCCCTCTTGGAGGCTATCCTGACACAGCTCCTTCTTGGAGGCTATCCTGACACAGCTCCCTCTTGGAGGCTATCCTGACACAGCTCCCTCTTGGAGGCTATCCTGACACAGCTCCCTCTTGGAGGCTATCCTGACACAGCTCCCTCTTGGAGGCTATCCTGACACAGCTCCTTCTTGGAGGCTATCCTGACACAGCTCCTTCTTGAAGGCTATCCTGACACAGCTCCCTCTTGGAGGCTATCCTGACACAGCTCCTTCTTGGAGGCTATCCTGACACAGCTCCCTCTTGGAGGCTATCCTGACACAGCTCCTTCTTGGAGGCTATCCTGACACAGCTCCTTCTTGGAGGCTATCCTGACACAGCTCCCTCTTGGAGGCTATCCTGACACAGCTCCCTCTTGGAGGCTATCCTGACACAGCTCCCTCTTGGAGGCTATCATGGTACAGCTCCTTCTTGGAGGCTATCCTGACACAGCTCCCTCTTGGAGGCTATCCTGACAGCTCCTTCTTGGAGGCTATCCTGGTACAGCTCCTTCTTGGAGGCTATCCTGGTACAGCTCCTTCTTGGAGGCTATCATGACACAGCTCCTTCTTGGAGGCTATCCTGACACAGCTCCTTCTTGGAGGCTATCCTGGCACAGCTCCTTCTTGGAGGCTATCCTGACACAGCTCCTTCTTGGAGGCTATCCTGGCACAGCTCCTTCTTGGAGGCTATCCTGACACAGCTCCTTCTTGGAGGCTATCCTGGCACAGCTCCTTCTTGGAGGCTATCCTGGTACAGCTCACTCTTGGAGGCTATCATGGTACAGCTCACTCTTGGAGGCTATCCTGACACAGCTCCTTCTTGAAGGCTATCCTGACACAGCTCCCTCTTGGAGGCTATCCTGACACAGCTCCCTCTTGGAGGCTATCATGGTACAGCTCACTCTTGGAGGAAAGTGTTGGCTGAAAAACTTGCTTCTACAGAATTACATACATATAATAACACGAGATCCAGACACACTCCAAGTTGTGAACACTGGTGAGGACTGTCGGTGGTATACTTCTCGCGGTGCGAGTATGCCAGCACAGGTGTGGTGTGCAGGGTTGGTACCCTCTGTAGGGTTATTATGCCCACCACAAAGGCTTACTCTCCAATCAATAAACTCTCGGGATTGACATCAATACCCATAACTCATAACATTCTAACCCAAATAAAGACTTAATCTAAATTGTACAATGAGAATAAAATTATATTTTTACAGATAAATGTTCTACACACATCCAGTCATCTCGAGGTTTTCTTCACCACTGAGTAACACAAATTATGTCAAATATCTCACGACTAATCCATCGAAAATGTTGTAAAAATATCTTGCATTTGTAAAACCTGCTTAAAAATGTATTTGGTTATCACCGATTATATATAAGGAAGACTATGTTGCCCCCTTGTCTCTTGAACACGTGTACCACATGGGTCTGTCATGGCTATGTTGCCCCCTTGTCTCTTGAACACGTGTACCACATGGGTCTGTCATGGCTATGTTGTCCCATGTCTCTTGAACACGTGTACCACATGGGTCTCTCATGGCTATGTTGCCCCTGTCTCTTGAACACGTGTACCACATGGGTCTGTCATGTCTATGTTGTCCCATGTCTCTTGAAGACGTGTACCACATGGGTCTGTCATGGCTATGTTGCCCCTGTCTCTTGAACAGGTGTACCACATGGGTCTCTCATGGCTATGTTGTCCCATGTCTCTTGAACAGGTGTACCACATGGGTCTCTCATGGCTATGTTGTCCCATGTCTCTTGAACACGTGTACCACATGGGTCTCTCATGGCTATGTTGCCCCATGTCTCTTGAACAGTTGTACCACATGGGTCTCTCATGGCTATGTTGCCCCATGTCTCTTGAACAGTTGTACCACATGCGTCTGTCAAGTGAGACCGTCATAACTATGTGGCCGTGATAGTTAACAGGTGTGGCTGGTTGCGCTACTGGGAGAGCAGGTGTGGCTGGTGGCGCTACTGGGAGAGCAGGTGTGGCTGGTGGCGCTACTGGGAGAGCAGGTGTGGCTGGTGGCGCTACTGGGAGAGCAGGTGTGGCTGGTGGCGCTACTGGGAGAGCAGGTGTGGCTGGTGGCGCTCCTGGGAGAGCAGGTGTGGCTGGTGGCGCTACGGGGAGAGCAGGTGTGGCTGGTGGCGCTACTGGGAGAGCAGGTGTGGCTGGTGGCGCTACTGGGAGAGCAGGTGTGGCTGGTGGCGCTCCTGGGAGAGCAGGTGTGGCTGGTGGCGCTACTGGGAGAGCAGGTGTGGCTGGTGGCGCTCCTGGGAGAGCAGGTGTGGCTGGTGGCGCTACTGGGAGAGCAGGTGTGGCTGGTGGCGCTCCTGGGAGAGCAGGTGTGGCTGGTGGCGCTACTGGGAGAGCAGGTGTGGCTGGTGGCGCTCCTGGGAGAGCAGGTGTGGCTGGTGGCGCTACTGGGAGAGCAGGTGTGGCTGGTGGCGCTCCTGGGAGAGCAGGTGTGGCTGGTGGCGCTACGGGGAGAGCAGGTGTGGCTGGTGGCGCTACTGGGAGAGCAGGTGTGGCTGGTGGCGCTCCTGGGAGAGCAGGTGTGGCTGGTGGCGCTACTGGGAGAGCAGGTGTGGCTGGTGGCGCTCCTGGGAGAGCAGGTGTGGCTGGTGGCGCTACTGGGAGAGCAGGTGTGGCTGGTGGCGCTCCTGGGAGAGCAGGTGTGGCTGGTGGCGCTACTGGGAGAGCAGGTGTGGCTGGTGGCGCTCCTGGCAGAGCAGGTGTGGCTGGTGGCGCTCCTGGGAGAGCAGGTGTGGCTGGAGGCGCTACTGGGAGAGCAGGTGGCGTTACTGGGAGAGCAGGTGTGGCTGGTGGCGCTACTGGGAGAGCAGGTGTGGCTGGTGGCGCTACTGGGAGAGCAGGTGTGGCTGGTGGCGCTACTGGGAGAGCAGGTGTGGCTGGAGGCGCTACTGGGAGAGCAGGTGTGGCTGGTGGCGCTACTGGGAGAGCAGGTGTGGCTGGAGGCGCTACTGGGAGAGCAGGTGTGGCTGGTGGCGCTACTGGGAGAGCAGGTGTGGCTGGTGGCGCTACTGGGAGAGCAGGTGTGGCTGGAGGCGCTACTGGGAGAGCAGGTGGCGTTACTGGGAGAGCAGGTGTGGCTGGTGGCGCTACTGGGAGAGCAGGTGTGGCTGGTGGCGCTACTGTGAGAGCAGGTGTGGCTGGTGGCGCTACTGGGAGAGCAGGTGTGGCTGGTGGCGCTACTGGGAGAGCAGGCGTGGCTGGTGGCGCTACTGGGAGAGCAGGTGTGGCTGGAGACGCTACTGGGAGAGCAGGTGGCGTTACTGGGAGAGCAGGTGTGGCTGGAGGCGCTACTGGGAGAGCAGGTGTGGCTGGTGGCGCTACTGGGAGAGCAGGTGTGGCTGGTGGCGCTACTGGGAGAGCAGGTGTGGCTGGAGGCGCTACTGGGAGAGCAGGTGGCGTTACTGGGAGAGCAGGTGTGGCTGGTGGCGCTACTGGGAGAGCAGGTGTGGCTGGTGGCGCTACTGGGAGAGCAGGTGTGGCTGGAGGCGCTACTGGGAGAGCAGGTGGCGTTACTGGGAGAGCAGGTGTGGCTGGTGGCGCTACTGGGAGAGCAGGCGTGGCTGGTGGCGCTACTGGGAGAGCAGGTGTGGCTGGAGACGCTACTGGGAGAGCAGGTGGCGTTACTGGGAGAGCAGGTGTGGCTGGAGGCGCTACTGGGAGAGCAGGTGTGGCTGGTGGCGCTACTGGGAGAGCAGGTGTGGCTGGTGGCGCTACTGGGAGAGCAGGTGTGGCTGGAGGCGCTACTGGGAGAGCAGGTGGCGCTACTGTGAGAGCAGGTGTGGCTGGTGGCGCTACTGGGAGAGCAGGTGTGGCTGGTGGCGCTACTGGGAGAGCAGGTGTGGCTGGTGGCGCTACTGGGAGAGCAGGTGTGGCTGGTGGCGCTACTGGGAGAGCAGGTGTGGCTGGTGGCGCTACTGGGAGAGCAGGTGTGGCTGGTGGCGCTACTGGGAGAGCAGGTGTGGCTACTGGGAGAGGGTAGAGTTGACCCAGGGCGGCATGGTGTTGAGGTCGAACATGTACACTCCCAGGGTATTAATCATCACGTTGATGACCACGATGCTGATGATGTTCATCACTACACCCGCGTACATCTGCACGACATCATCAAACATTAGTACACAACCTCATCCTATATCGTGAAGTATTTGCCAACAATAAACAAGAGAAGGCAAACCATATATAGTTATGTCTTTGTATTCCAATATTAGGGAGGCATCACGGGACGGGAGAGTGGGGCTCACCCCATGGTGGGGGAGAGTGGGGCTCACCCCATGGTGGGGCTCACCCCATGGTGGGGGAGAGTGGGGCTCACCCCATGGTGGGGGAGAGTGGGCTCACCCCATGGTGGGGGAGAGTGGGGCTCATCCCATGGTGGGGGAGAGTGGGGCTCATCCCATGGTGGGGGAGAGTGGGGCTCATCCCATGGTGGGGGAGAGTGGGGGCTCATCCCATGGTGGGGGAGAGTGGGGCTCACCCCATGGTGGGGGAGAGTGGGGCTCACCCCATGGTGGGGGAGAGTGGGCTCACCCCATGGTGGGGGAGAGTGGGGTTCATCCCATGGTGGGGCTCACCCCATGGTGGGGGAGAGTGGGGCTCATCCCATGGTGGGGGAGAGTGGGGCTCACCCATGGTGGGGGAGAGTGGGGCTCACCCCATGGTGGGGGAGAGTGGGGCTCACCCCATGGTGGGGGAGAGTGGGGCTCACCCCATGGTGGGGAGAGTGGGGCTCATCCCATGGTGGGGGAGAGTGGGGCTCATCCCATGGTGGGGGAGAGTGGGGCTCACCCCATGGTGGGGGAGAGTGGGGCTCATCCCATGGTGGGGGAGAGTGGGGCTCATCCCATGGTGGGGGAGAGTGGGGCTCATCCCATGGTGGGGAGAGTGGGGCTCATCCCATGGTGGGGAGAGTGGGGCTCATCCCATGGTGGGGGAGAGTGGGCCATCCCATGGTGGGGGAGAGTGGGGCTCATCCCATGGTGGGGGAGAGTGGGGCTCATCCCATGGTGGGGGAGAGTGGGGCTCATCCCATGGTGGGGGAGAGTGGGGCTCACCCCATGGTGGGGGAGAGTGGGGCTCATCCCATGGTGGGGGAGAGTGGGGCTCATCCATGGTGGGGGAGAGTGGGGCTCATCCCATGGTGGGGGGAGAGTGGGGCTCATCCCATGGTGGGGGAGAGTGGGGCTCATCCCATGGTGGGGGAGAGTGGGGCTCATCCCATGGTGGGGGAGAGTGGGGCTCATCCCATGGTGGGGGAGAGTGGGGCTCATCCCATGGTGGGGGAGAGTGGGGCTCATCCCATGGTGGGGGAGAGTGGGGCTCACCCCATGGTGGGGGCAGAGAGTGGGGCTCACCCCATGGTGGGGGAGAGTGGGGGGGAGGAGAGTGGGCTCACACCCATGGGGTGGGGGAGAGTGGGGCTCACCCCATGTGGGGAGAGTGGGGCTCACCCCATGGTGGGGGAGAGTGGGGCTCATCCCACCCCATGGTGGGGGAGAGTGGGGCTCACCCCCATGGTGGGGGAGAGTGGGGCTCACCCCATGGTGGGGGAGAGTGGGGCTCACCCCATGGTGGGGGAGAGTGGGGCTCAGTGGGGGCTCATCCCATGGTGGGGGAGAGTGGGGCTCATCCCATGGTGGGGCTCACCCCATGGTGGGGGAGAGTGGGGCTCACCCCATGGTGGGGGGAGAGTGGGGCTCACCCCATGGTGGGGGAGAGTGGGGCTCACCCCATGGTGGGGGAGAGTGGGGCTCACCCCATGGTGGGGGAGAGTGGGGCTCAGTGGGGCTCCCCATGGTGGGGGAGAGTGGGGCTCACCCCATGGTGGGGGAGTGGAGGAGTGGTGGAGAGGGGCTCATCCCATGGTGGGGAAGAGTGGAGCTCACCCCATGGTGGGGGAGAGTGGGCTCACCCCATGGTGGGGGAGAGTGGGCTCACCCCATGGTGGGGGAGAGTGGGGCTCACCCCATGGTGGGGGAGAGTGGGGCTCACCCCATGGTGGGGGAGAGTGGGGCTCACCCATGGTGGGGGGAGAGTGGGGCTCACCCCATGGTGGGGGAGAGTGGGGCTCACCCCATGGTGGGGGAGAGTGGGGCTCACCCCATGGTGGGGGAGAGTGGGGCTCACCCCATGGTGGGGGGAGTGGGGCTCACCCCATGGTGGGGAGACCCCATGGTGGGGGAGAGTGGGGCTCATCCCATGGTGGGGCTCACCCCATGGTGGGGGAGAGTGGGGCTCACCCCATGGTGGGGGAGAGTGGGGCTCACCCCATGGTGGGGGAGAGTGGGGCTCACCCCATGGTGGGGCTCACCCCATGGTGGGGGAGAGTGGGGCTCATCCCATGGTGGGGCTCACCCATGGTGGGGGAGAGTGGGGCTCACCCCATGGTGGGGGAGAGTGGGCTCACCCCATGGTGGGGAGAGTGGGGCTCACCCCATGGTGGGGCTCACCCCATGGTGGGGGAGAGTGGGGCTCACCCCATGGTGGGGGAGAGGGGGAGAGTGGGGCTCACCCCATGGTGGGGGAGAGTGGGGGCTCACCCCATGGTGGGGGAGAGTGGGGCTCACCCCATGGTGGGGCTCACCCCATGGTGGGGGAGAGTGGGGCTCACCCCATGGTGGGGGGAGCTCACCCCATGGTGGGGGAGAGTGGGGCTCACCCCATGGTGGGGGAGAGTGGGGCTCACCCCATGGTGGGGGAGAGTGGGGCTCACCCCATGGTGGGGGAGAGTGGGGCTCACCCCATGGTGGGGGGAGAGTGGGGCTCACCCCATGGTGGGGGAGAGTGGGGCTCACCCCATGGTGGGGGGAGAGTGGGGCTCACCCCATGGTGGGGGAGAGTGGGGCTCACCCCATGGTGGGGGAGAGTGGGGCTCACCCCATGGTGGGGGAGAGTGGGGCTCACCCCATGGTGGGGGAGAGTGGGGCTCACCCCATGGTGGGGGGAGCTCACCCCATGGTGGGGCTCACCCCATGGTGGGGGAGAGTGGGGCTCACCCCATGGTGGGGGAGAGGGGAGCTCACCCCATGGTGGGGGAGAGTGGGGCTCACCCCATGGTGGGGGAGAGTGGGGCTCACCCCATGGTGGGGGAGAGTGGGGCTCACCCCATGGTGGGGGAGAGTGGGGCTCACCCCATGGTGGTGGGGGAGAGGGGCTCACCCCATGGTGGGGGAGAGTGGGGCTCACCCCATGGTGGGGGAGAGTGGGGCTCACCCCATGGTGGGGGAGAGTGGGGCTCACCCCATGGTGGGGGAGAGTGGGGCTCACCCCATGGTGGGGGAGAGTGGGGCTCACCCCATGGTGGGGGAGAGTGGGCTCATCCCATGGTGGGGGAGAGTGGAGCTCACCCCATGGTGGGGGAGAGTGGGGCTCACCCCATGGTGGGGGAGAGTGGGGCTCACCCCATGGTGGGGGAGAGTGGAGCTCACCCCATGGTGGGGGAGAGTGGGGCTCACCCCATGGTGGGGGAGAGTGGGGCTCACCCCATGGTGGGGGAGAGTGGAGCTCACCCCATGGTGGGGGAGAGTGGGCTCACCCCATGGTGGGGGGAGTGGGGCTCACCCCATGGTGGGGGAGAGTGGAGCTCACCCCATGGTGGGGGAGAGTGGGGCTCACCCCATGGTGGGGGAGAGTGGGGCTCACCCCAGTGGGGCTCACCCCATGGTGGGGGAGAGTGGGGCTCACCCCATGGTGGTGGGGGAGAGTGGGGCTCACCCCATGGTGGGGGAGAGTGGGGCTCACCCCATGGTGGGGGAGAGTGGGGCTCACCCCATGGTGGGGGAGAGTGGGGCTCACCCCATGGGGTGGGGGGAGAGTGGGGCTCACCCCATGGTGGGGGAGAGTGGGCTCATCCCATGGTGGGGGGAGAGTGGGGCTCACCCCATGGTGGGGGAGAGTGGGGCTCACCCCATGGTGGGGGAGAGTGGGGCTCACCCCATGGTGGGGGAGAGTGGGGCTCACCCCATGGTGGGGGGAGTGGGGCTCACCCCATGGTGGGGGAGAGTGGGGCTCACCCCATGGTGGGGGAGAGTGGGGCTCACCCCATGGTGGGGGAGAGTGGGGCTCACCCCATGGTGGGGAGAGTGGGGCTCACCCATGGTGGGGGAGAGTGGGCTCACCCCATGGTGGGGGAGAGTGGGGCTCACCCCATGGTGGGGGAGAGTGGGGCTCACCCCATGGTGGGGGAGAGTGGGGCTCACCCCATGGTGGGGGAGAGTGGGGCTCACCCCATGGTGGGGGAGAGTGGGGCTCACCCCATGGTGGGGGAGAGTGGGGCTCACCCCATGGTGGGGGAGAGTGGGGCTCATGGTGGGGGAGAGTGGGGCTCCCCATGGTGGGGGAGAGTGGGGCTCACCCCATGGTGGGGGAGAGTGGGGCTCACCCCATGGTGGGGGAGAGTGGGGCTCACCCCATGGTGGGGGAGAGTGGGGCTCACCCCATGGTGGGGAGAGTGGGGCTCACCCCATGGTGGGGGAGAGTGGGGCTCACCCCATGGTGGGGGAGAGTGGGGCTCACCCCATGGTGGGGGAGAGTGGGGCTCACCCCATGGTGGTGGAGAGAGGGGCTCACCCCATGGTGGGGGAGAGTGGGGCTCACCCCATGGTGGGGGAGAGTGGGGCTCACCCCATGGTGGGGGAGAGTGGGGCTCACCCCATGGAGAGTGGGGCTCACCCCATGGTGGGGGAGAGTGGGGCTCACCCCATGGTGGGGGAGAGTGGGGCTCACCCCATGGTGGGGGAGAGTGGGGCTCACCCCATGGTGGGGGAGAGTGGGGCTCACCCCATGGTGGGGGAGAGTGGGGCTCACCCCATGGTGGGGGAGAGTGGGGCTCACCCCATGGTGGGGAGAGTGGGGCTCACCCCATGGTGGGGGAGAGTGGGGCTCACCCCATGGTGGGGGAGAGTGGGGCTCACCCCATGGTGGGGGGAGTGGGGCTCACCCCATGGTGGGGGAGAGTGGGGCTCACCCATGGTGGGGGAGAGTGGGGCTCACCCCATGGTGGGGGAGAGTGGGGCTCACCCCATGGTGGGGGAGAGTGGAGCTCACCCCATGGTGGGGGAGAGTGGGGCTCACCCCATGGTGGGGCTCACCCCATGGTGGGGGAGAGTGGAGCTCACCCCATGGTGGGGGAGAGTGGGGCTCACCCCATGGTGGGGGAGAGTGGGGCACCCCATGGTGGGGGAGAGTGGGGCTCACCCCATGGTGGGGGAGAGTGGGGCTCACCCCAGAGGGGTGGTGGGGGAGAGTGGGGCTCACCCCATGGTGGGGGAGAGTGGGGCTCACCCCATGGTGGGGGAGAGTGGGGCTCACCCCTTGGTGGGGCTCACCCCATGGTGGGGGAGAGTGGGGCTCACCCATGGTGGGGGAGAGTGGGGGTCACTCCATGGTGGGGGAGAGTGGGGCTCACCCCATGGTGGGGGAGAGTAGGGCTCACCTCATGGTGGGGGAGAGTGGGGCTCACTCCATGGTGGGGGAGAGTGGGGCTCACTCCATGGTGGGGGAGAGTGGGGCTCACCCCATGGTGGGGGAGAGTGGGGCTCACTCCATGGTGGGGGAGAGTGGGGCTCACCCCATGGTGGGAGAGATTGGGGCTCACCCCATGGTGGGGGAGAGTGGGGCTCACCCCATGGTGGGGGAGAGTGGGGCTCACTCCATGGTGGGGGAGAGTGGGGCTCACTCCATGGTGGGGGAGAGTGGGGCTCACCCCATGGTGGGGGAGAGTGGGGCTCACCCCATGGTGGGGGAGAGTGGGGCTCACCCCATGGTGGGGGAGAGTGGGGCTCACCCCATGGTGGGGGAGAGTGGGGCTCACCCCATGGTGGGAGAGAGTGGGGGTCACTCCATGGTGGGGGAGAGTGGGGCTCACCCCATGGTGGGGGAGAGTGGGGCTCACCCCATGGTGGGGAAGAGTGGGGCTCACCCCATGGTGGGGGAGAGTGGGGCTCACCCCATGGTGGGGGAGAGTGGGGCTCACCCCATGGTGGGGGAGAGTGGGGCTCACCCCATGGGGGGGGAGAGTGGGGCTCACCCCATGGGGGGGAGAGTGGGGCTCACCTCATGGTGGGGGAGAGTGGGGCTCACCCCATGGTGGGGGAGAGTGGAGCTCACCTATGGTGGGGGAGAGTGGGCCCATCACACAGTGGCGGGCCGTGGGCTGACCACACAGTGGTGGGCCGTGGGCTGACCACACAGTGGTGGGCCGTGGGCTGACCACACAGTGGTGGGCCGTGGGCTGACCACACAGTGGTGGGCCGTGGGCTGACCACACAGTGGTGGGCCGTGGGCTGACCACACAGTGGTGGGCCGTGGGCTGACCACACAGTGGTGGGCCGTGGGCTGACCACACAGTGGTGGGCCGTGGGCTGACCACACAGTGGTGGGCCGTGGGCTGACCACACAGTGGTGGGCCGTGGGCTGACCACACAGTGGTGGGCCGTGGGCTGACCACACAGTGGTGGGCCGTGGGCTGACCACACAGTGGTGGGCCGTGGGCTGACCACACAGTGGTGGGCCGTGGGCTGACCACACAGTGGTGGGCCGTGGGCTGACCACACAGTGGTGGGCCGTGGGCTGACCACACAGTGGTGGGCCGTGGGCTGACCACACAGTGGTGGGCCGTGGGCTGACCACACAGTGGTGGGCCGTGGGCTGACCACACAGTGGTGGGCCGTGGGCTGACCACACAGTGGTGGGCCGTGGGCTGACCACACAGTGGTGGGCCGTGGCTGACCACACAGTGGTGGGCCGTGGGCTGACCACACAGTGGTGGGCCGTGGGCTGACCACACAGTGGTGGGCCGTGGGCTGACCACACAGTGGTGGGCCGTGGGCTGACCACACAGTGGTGGGCCGTGGGCTGACCACATGAGTGACAACAATAACTTACCATCTGTGTTGTGTGCATGTTGGCAGCGCCGAAGACTATAGCATTAGGGGGTGTGGCCACTGGCAGCATGAAGGCATAGGAGCAGCACACAGTGGCAGGCAGCATGAGGTAGATGGGGTTCACCTGTATGTTCAGCGCCTGTAAACAATGACAACAATGTTGAAGAGCAGCCCCCAATAAACAATACAACCCTCTACGAAACGCAAACGTGGTTTATCAGTTGACATGCCCCAATGAATGAGGTCTCCATGGATCTTTTTATATTGGTATGACCACCACACGGCTCTCAGGAATCGGGCTCACCATAGCCCGTGCTACTTGGAACTGTTTGTTCCAAGTAGCGAATCTTTACCAACCTCTCAGGAAGACTGACCTGCCCCCAGACACCATATGGAAAGTGTACATAACACAACCCTCACTAGCAACGTGCTAGTTGAGACCATGCAACAATCCTGGCACCCACCACCGACCAGAGAACACTGCAAATACTGGAAGCTATACTCATAAAAAAGACCCGCACTAAATGTACAGATGTCGGAAAATCCGACAGCATTTAATATCATACAGACAGATAATAATTGCTGCTGTATTGTATAAACAAGTTACCCATAGAAAACGTAACTTGTAGTGGAATTACCGTCTATAGAAAACGGAATATCATTACCACATACTATTTTAAATTCACCACCTATTATGGTGGGAATTATTCTTAAATACATTAGTCTTTGGACTTTACCATCATAAAAACATCTCATATAAATTAACTTAATTATCAGTATTAAAGTAGAGTAAATGTGACCCTTCTATCACTTACTGTCATCTGGACAATGTAAGCCAGGCGTCAGGAGTGAGGAAGGAGGGGCAGCCATTACAATACAATACAATACAATTTTATTTAGGTAAGGTACATACATACAATAAATTTTTACAAAGATTGGTTGACTTATAGGTAGAGCTAGAACATACAATGCCTAAAACCACTATTACGCAAAGCATTTCGGGCATGATAAACTTAATTGACAAGCTTAATACTAATTGAGCATAATGAGTAGAATGAAAACAAGAAATGAAAACATAGATGAAAAAGCAGCACTAATACAATTATGTCGACAAACAGCGCTCTTTAAAAAAAACAGACATTGGTTGACAGTAGAAGGGTAAGGTAGGTTACAGGGAATTTATTAGGTATAGCTTCGCTTTTAACTTTAACTGGTTGAGAGAGGTACAGTCTTTAACATGGTTGGGAAGGTCATTCCACATTCTGGGCCCCTTGATTTGTAGAGCATTTCTAGTTTGATTAAGTCGTACTCTAGGAATATCAAAACTGTATTTATTTCTAGTGTGGTGCTCATGGGTTCTGTTACAACCTTCTATGAAGCTTTTGAGATCAGGATTGGCATTATAGTTTAGCGTTTTATATATGTATAATACACATGAGAGAATGTGCAGTGACTTAATGTCTAACATATTCAGAGATTTGAGTAGGGGTACCGAGTGATGTCTGGGGCCAGAATTGGATATTGTTCTAATAGCAGCTTTGTGTTGAGTAATTAGAGGACGTAAGTGATTTTGGGTAGTAGAGCCCCAAGCACAAATACCATAGTTGAGGTATGGATAGATGAGGGAGTAATAGAGAGTAACCAGGGCAGGGCGTGGTACATAATATCTGATCTTAGAAAGAATGCCAACAGTTTTTGAAACTTTTTTTGATATGTTTAGAATGTGTCCCTGGAAATTAAGCTTGTGGTCAATGAGAATGCCAAGGAATTTGCCATCTAATTTGTTACAAATTTGGGTATTGTTTATTTTGAGATTTATTTGATTAGAGGATTTATTGCCAAACAGAATATAGAAAGTTTTGTCAATGTTAAGGGTTGTTTGTTGGCAGTTAGCCACAGATGGACTTTATTTAGCTCAGTATTTACTGTGGCATTTAGAGCAAGGGGATCAGGACTGGAGTAAATGAAGGTTGTGTCGTCAGCAAATAGAATTGGTTTGAGGTGTTGGGAGGCATTTGGAAGGTCATTAATGTAGATGAGAAAGAGGAGAGGGCCAAGTATGCTGCCCTGGGGAACACCAATGTTGATGGGTAGGGTGGGAGAAATTGTATTATTCACAGAAACATATTGGAGCCTGTCAGTAAGGTAGGATTTGGGGTATTGTAGGGAGTGTCCTCTGACTCCATAATGATGTAATTTAAGAAGAAGGTTTTGGTGGTTGACAGTATCAAAAGCTTTACGCAGGTCCACAAACAACCCAACAGGGAACTCATTTTTATCAAGAACTGTATGAATCGAGTTAAGCATACTAATAAGTGCATCGTGCTTTTTTTGGGTCTGAAGCCATATTGGCAAGGGCTAAGTATATTGAGTTTGGCTAGATATGAGTAAAGCTGCTTATAGATTAGTTTTTCAAAAATTTTTGACAAGTTTGGCAGGATAGATATAGGTCTGTAGTTGTTAACATCTGTGAGATCACCACATTTGTGGACAGGCGTTACTCTCGCTTTTTTTAGAATATCTGGAAAGGTTTGGAGTTCAAGTGACTTGTTGAAGAGCAAAGCAATAGCAGGGGCTAAAGATCTGGAGGCTTTTTTGTAAATTAAAGTTGGTATCTCCTCAAGGGCACCAGACTTGATTTTAAGGGAAAGGATTATCTCATTGACGTCAGTGGAATTAATAGGCTTTAGGTACAGAGACTGGGGATAGTTCCCTGTAAGATAGTCCTTAATGTCTGTACTGGAAGATGGAATATCATTTGCAAGGGATGAACCAATGGAAGAGAAGAACCTATTGAACTCAATAGCAGAATCAGAGGCTGAAAGCTGACCATTGTTATTAGACAGGAGAGTCGGTTTGTTATTTAAAGATTTCTTTGATCCCAATATTTGAGAAATTGTGCTCCAAGTTTGTTTAATGTTGCTCTTTATTTGGGTAAATTTATCTACGTAGTATTTAGTTTTGGCTCGTCTAATTATCTTAGACAGCAATAATGAGTAATTCTTTGAGAATTCTTTGGAGACAATTCCTAACCTATACTTCTTCTCAAGGTCTTCTCATTGTTTATACTAGACCAGAGGTTCACGGGAGCAAATACGGCTCCTGTTAATTTTACTTGGACGAAGTGTTATGGAAACCAAAGGTGTACCATCTTCAACACGCTGTCAACAAATTCAAGTTAAGTGTTCTTCCGAAACCCATTTATCTTTCATTTATGGCCAGTAATGTCAGTGGATATAGGGTGATCCAGTTAGAGCACGAGATAGCCTCATACTAAAGGTAATTAAGCCAGGTCTTCATTGTTCCATGTACAGTGTTTTCTCTGATATAGCTTGTCATATACTAGGATTCTGGCTTTTCAGCTAGCGCCCTTTTGACAGGTCAAGACGAAGAAGCATGCTTTGTGCATCAGTTACCAGGGTGATGGAAGCCACCTCAAAGAGGGGAAAATGTGGTGTCTACATCCTGGTTATACCTGGTGGACTAAGGCCTGCTGTACAAATAAGATAAGGAACCTCTTCAATATGTGTAGTTAATACTGTAGTTTGATTGGCTGCATATATATAAATTAAATTAATATAAACCCCCCTAATGTGTAGAGGATCGATTTGTGAGATTATTGCAGAAATACAGTCCACGTATCATCATACAAATTGCTATCGAAGTATACCAATTAATGTAAATATAAATTCTATATAAATTCATATAAATTAAATATATATAAATCTCACAGGTCGGTTCCCACAACAAAGTAAGGACTTGGATACCTTGCCTACGCTCAGATCCAGACCTCACCATGCAGCAGAGGTTACCGTCTCTACCGAGGTCTCCCGGCCCCCCGCCCCACACATTGTTTGGTTGGCCATTCCCCTTTATTTTTCTACCCCCCCCTACAAGTTATTGTACAATATGCAATTATTCATATATATATATTAGTTGTTCCAATACTTACCAACTCGTTCAGAACAGGAAGCAATATAGAAGCTGTGGCAGTGTTGGAAGCCACCTCCGTCAGCATGGCGGTCGAGAAAGTGACTATCATCACGATGTAAACACTGTCTAAGCCATTCAAGCCTTTGAGCGACTCCCCCATCCACTGGGAGAGGCCCGAGACCTTGGCGCCCTCGGCCATGGCGAAGCCGCCCCCCAGCAGCAACACCACGCCCCACGGGATCCTCTCCTGCACCACCTTCCACGTCAGGCACGCGTTCTCCTCCACACGCTTCTCCTCACCTGCACAGTCATGCCGAGTGAAGGTATAGGCATGAAGGAAGGAGGTGGGTATGAAGGAAGGAGGTGGGTATGAAGGAAGGAGGTGGGTATGAAGGAAAGAGGTGGGTATGAAGGAAGGAGGTGGGTATGAAGGAAGGAGGTCGATATGAAGGAAGGAGGTCGGTATGAAGGAAGGAGGTGGGTATGAAGGAAGGAGGTGGGCATGAAGGAAGGAGGAGGGTATGAAGGAAGGAGGTCGGTATGAAGGAAGGAGGTCGGTATGAAGGAAGGAGGTGGGTATGAAGGAAGGAGGTCGGTATGAAAGAAGGAGGTCGGTATGAAGGAAGAAGGTGGGCATGAAGGAAGAAGGTGGGCATGAAGGAAGAAGGTGGGTATGAAGGAAGGAGGTGGGTATGAAGGAAGGAGGTGGGTATGAAGGAAGGAGGTGGGTATGAAGGAAGGAGGTGGGCATGAAGGAAGGAGGTGGGTATGAAGGAAGGAGGTGGGCATGAAGGAAGGAGGTGGGTATGAAGGAAGGAGGTGGGTATGAAGGAAGGAGGTGGGTATGAAGGAAGGAGGTGGGCATGAAGGAAGGAGGTGGGTATGAAGGAAGGAGGTGGGTATGAAGGAAGGAGGTGGGTATGAAGGAAGGAGGTGGGTATGAAGGAAGGAGGTGGGTATGAAGGAAGGAGGTGGGTATGAAGGAAGGAGGTGGGTATGAAGGAAGGAGGTGGGTATGAAGGAAGGAGGTGGGTATGAAGGAAGTAGGTGGGTATGAAGGAAGGAGGTGGGTATAAAGGAAGGAGGTGGGTATGAAGGAAGGAGGTGGGTATGAAGGAAGGAGGTGGGTATGAAGGAAGGAGGTCGTTATGAAGGAAGGAAGTGGGTATGAAGGAAGGAGGTGGGCATGAAGGAAGGAGGTGGGTATGAAGGAAGGAGGTCGGTATGAAGGAAGGAGGTGGGTATGAAGGAAGGAGGTCGGTATGAAGGAAGGAGGTGGGTATGAAGGAAGGAGGTGGGTATGAAGGAAGGAGGTGGGTATGAAGGAAGGAGGTGGGTATGAAGGAAGGAGGTGGGTATGAAGGAAGGAGGTGGGTATGAAGGAAGGAGGTGGGTATGAAGGTAGGAGGTCGGTATGAAGGAAGGAGGTGGGCATGAAGGAAGGAGGTGGGTATGAAGGAAGGAGGTGGGTATGAAGGAAGGAGGTCGGTATGAAGGAAGGAGATGGGCATGAAGGAAGGAGGTCGGTATGAAGGAAGGAGGTGGGTATGAAGGAAGGAGGTGGGTATGAAGGAAGGAGGTGGGCATGAAGGAAGGAGGTGGGTATGAAGGAAGGAGGTCGGTATGAAGGAAGGAGGTGGGTATGAAGGAAGGAGGTGGGCATGAAGGAAGGAGGTGGGTATGAAGGAAGGAGGTGGGTATGAAGGAAGGAGGTGGGCATGAAGGAAGGAGGTGGGTATGAAGCAAAATGTTGGGTATGGAGGAAAATGTTGGGGTATGAAGGAAGAAGTTGGGTATGAATGAAGAATCTTGGTATGAATGAAGAAGTTAAGAATGATTATGCAAGTGCACTTATTCTCTGATCAACATGTATGGATGCACTTATTCTCTGATCAATATGTATGGATGCACTTATTCTCTGATCAACATGTATGGATGCACTTATTCTCTGATCAACATGTATGGATGCACTTATTCTCTGATCAACATGTATGGATGCACTTATTCTCTGATCAACATGTATGGATGCACTTATTCTCTGATCAACATGTATGGATGCACTTATTCTCTGATCAACATGTATGGATGCACTTATTCTCTGATCAACATGTATGGATGCACTTATTCTCTGATCAACATGTATGGATGCACTTATTCTCTGATCAACATGTATGGATGCACTTATTCTCTGATCAACATGTATGGATGCACTTATTCTCTGATCAACATGTATGGATTCACATGTATTCTTTCATCAAGATGTTATACACTTATTCTTTCATCATTATACATTGATGCATGTATTCTTATCCATCCGTTTCTTTGGCTGCCTTTATTCATGCAATGCACAATGTACAATGCACAATGTACAATGCACAATGTACAATGCACAATGTACAATGCACAATGTACAATGCACAATGTACAATGCACAATGTACAATGCACAATGTACAATGCACAATGTACAATGCACAATGTACAATGCACAATGTACAATGCACAATGTACAATGCACAATGTACAATGCACAATGCACAATGTACAATGCACAATGTACAATGCACAATGCACAATGTACAATGCACAATGCAATGAATGCAATACATTCAACATGAAACGGTGCACTTTCATGATTATATGTGAATGCACTTATACTTTCATCAATATGTATACATGCACTTATTCTTTCATCAATGTATACATGCACTTATATTTTCATCAATGTATACATGCACTTATTCTTTCATCAATGTGTACATGCACTTATTCTTTCATCAATGTGTATACATTCACTTATTCTTTCATCAATGTATACATGCACTTATTCTTTCATCAATGTATACATGCACTTATTCTTTCATCAATGTGTATACATTCACTTATTCTTTCATCAATGTATACATGCACTTATTCTTTCATCAATGTATACATGCACTTATTCTTTCATCAATATGTATACATTCACTTATTCTTTCATCAATATGTATACATTCACTTATTCTTTCATCAATATGTATACATTCACTTATTCTTTCATCAATATGTATACATTCACTTATTATTCACTTATTCTTTAATTTAGCAGACTCAATACTTTGTAAGCTCTTATTGTATTGTTATATTATTATATTGTTGTGTTTTGCTATAATTACTTTCTATTTTACAGCAGATTTAGTTTTTCATCTGTTCATGTAATTGCTTATCGTATTGTATCGTGACATTCTTTTCTATATTGATATATATTATCTATCTATTGTTACTTACAGTGTACCTGAGAGTACTTGTAAGCAATCTACCTCATTTTTCATTTTTGCTCAATTTTTTTGTATTGCTTAGTCTTGTTTATATTTTTGTTTTGTATTTCTATATCTTGTGTTTTGTATAGTCCATGTTTATATGTTTTTTTCTTTAATCTCATTAATTGCCTAGGTTGCCTAGCCTAGCCATACTCCCTTACTCCATTGTACCCCTGTAAGCCCCTTTTGTGTTTGTTTGGTACAGTATTGTGTACATTTATTTCTTTTTGTTTTTCTTGTTTTTCCGGCAATCAGCTTTTTTTATGCAGACAAGTATAGACCCTGAACTTAACCTCTTATCCACTATCTATGACAATAATCACTTTAATGATCTAAATTGCAGATATTTTGCAGCACATGATGTAAACAATGTATTAACTCATAGTCACAATATCTCTGTAATCAATTTGAACGTTAGATCCCTAGGTAAACACTTCGATGATGTTAGTGCCTTGATTGAAACTATTGACAACAAATTCTCTTTTATTATACTTACTGAAACATGGTTGAAAGAGGATACTACTCAGCTCTTTAACATGCCTAACTACTCAGCAATTCACAACTGTCGTTAACTTCAGAGAGATGGTGGCACTGCTCTTTACTACCACCAAGAACTAACATGCTTAAAAGAAATTAGAACCAGAGACTGCTATGGGGAGTATATCTTCGCCAGCTTCAGAGTCAAGGGTGCCGAGTCTATCCTGTCTGTGGGTGCAGTTTATAGAATTCCTAACACTGATGTGTCCGAATTCAACTCAAACCTTAGAAATCTAATACTTGATAACAGACTGAACAAAAACCACCTAATTATCGCAGGGGACTTTAATATTGACCTCTGCGAGCCAGAACACCCTACTGCTGTTAGCTTCCTCAACTGTATGAATTCCTGCTTCCTCATACCCTTAATCACTAGACCTACTAGAATCACTGATAGCACTGCCACGACTCTAGATCACATCTGGACAAATATAACCTCTCCGCTTACTTCAGGTATAATCACCGATAGCACTACAGACCATTACCCCACATTTCTCTTAACTAACATTAGCAAACCACCTCTTGAGTCAAGAGAGGTACGTTTTAGACTACACAATGAAAGTGCTATAGACAATTTTATAACTGCTACTGATAATGTCAACTGGGAGTCCGAGTTAGGTAACATAGAGGACATCAACCTAGCAGTTCAATCTTTTCTTCAAATAACTCTTAGCCTTTATAATACCCACTGTCCTATGCTTACAAAACAAGTCACAACCAAAAGGCTTAACAATCCCTGGCTTACAAAGGGAATACTTAAATCTATTAATAAAAAACATGACCTTGAGAAAAAGTATAGGTTAGGAATTGTCTCCAAAGAATTCTCAAAGAATTACTCATTATTGCTATCTAAGATAATTAGACGAGCCAAAACTAAATACTACGAAGATAAATTTACCCAAATAAAGAGCAACATTAAACAAACATGGAGAACAATTTCGCAAATATTGGGATCAAAGAAGTCTTTAAATAACAAACCGACTCTCCTGTCTAATAACGATGGTCAGCTTTCAGCCTCTGATTCTGCTATTGAGTTCAATAGGTTCTTCTCTTCCATTGGTTCATCCCTTGCTAATGATATTCCATCTTCCAGTACTGACATTAAGGACTATCTTACAGGGAACTATCCCCAGTCTCTGTACCTAAAGCCTATTAATTCCATTGACGTCAATGAGATAATCCTTTCCCTTAAAACCAAGTCTGGTGCCCTTGAGGAGATACCAACTTTAATCTACAAAAAAGCCTCCAGATCTTTAGCCCCTGCTATTGCTTTGCTCTTCAACAAGTCACTTGAACTCCAAACCTTTCCAGATATTCTAAAAAAAGCGAGAGTAACGCCTGTCCACAAATGTGGTGATCTCACAGATGTTAACAACTACAGACCTATATCAATCCTGCAAAACTTGTCAAAAATTTTTGAAAAACTAATCTATAAGCAGCTTTACTCATATCTAGCCAAACTCAATATACTTAGCCCTTGCCAATATGGCTTCAGGCCCAAAAAAAGCACTAACGATGCACTTATTAGTATGCTTAACTCGATTCATATAGCTCTTGATAAAAATGAGTTCCCTGTTGGGTTATTTGTGGACCTGCGTAAAGCTTTCGATACTGTCAACCACCAAAACCTTCTTCTTAAATTACATCATTATGGTGTCAGAGGACACTCCCTACAATACCTCAAATCCTACCTTACTGACAGGCTCCAATGTGTTTCTGTGAATAATACAATTTCTCCCACCCTACCCAGCAACATTGGTGTTCCCCAGGGCAGCATACTTGGCCCTCTCCTCTTTCTCATCTACATTAATGACCTTCCAAATGCCTCCCAACACCTCAAACCAATCCTATTTGCTGACGACACAACCTTCATTTACTCCAGTCCTGATCCCCTTGCTCTAAATGCCACAGTAAATACTGAGCTAAATAAAGTCCATCTGTGGCTAACTGCCAACAAACTCACCCTTAACATTGACAAAACTTTCTATATTCTGTTTGGCAATAAATCCTCTAATCAAATAAATCTCAAAATAAACAATACCCAAATTTGTAACAAATTAGATGGCAAATTCCTTGGCATTCTCATTGACCACAAGCTTAATTTCCAGGGACACATTCTAAACATATCAAAAAAAGTTTCAAAAACTGTGGGCATTCTTTCTAAGATCATATATTATGTACCACGCCCTGCCCTGGTGACTCTCTATTACTCCCTTATCTATCCATATCTCAACTATGGTATTTGTGCTTGGGGCTCTACTACCCAAAATCACTTACGTCCTCTAATTACTCAACACAAAGCTGCTATTAGGACAATATCCAATTCTGGCCCCAGACATCACTCGGTACCCCTATTCAAATCCCTGAATATGTTAGACATTAAGTCACTGCACATTCTCTCATGTGTACTATACATATACAAAACGCTGAACTGTAATGCCAATCCTGATCTCAAAAGCTTCATAGAAGGTTGTAACAGAACCCATGAGCACCACACCAGAAATAAATACAGTTTTGATATTCCTAGAGTACGACTTAATCAAACCAGAAATGCTCTACAAATCAAGGGGACCAGAATGTGGAATGACCTTCCCAACCATGTTAAAGACAGTACCTCTCTCAACCAGTTTAAGTTAAAAACGAAGCTATACCTAATAAATTCCCTGTAACCTACCTTACCCTTCTATTGTCAACCCATGTATTTTTTTTTTTTTTGTTTTACAAATCAACGCTGTTTTAATGTAATTTTCTGTAATAATTTGTAATTGTATTTGTGCTGTTTTTTTCAACAATGTTCCCCCCTCTTTTACCTCTATTTTTATTTGTACTCAACGCATTTTTTTCTTTTTACCCATTAGTTTTAAGCTTTAGTCAGTAGTGTTTTTTCCTGCCCGAAACGCTTTGCGTAATAGTGGCTTTAGGCATTGTATGTACTAGCTCTATCTATAAAGCCAACAAACTTTGTAAAATCTCTTTATGTATGTACCTTACCTAAATAAAAATTATTATTATTATTATTATTATTATTATTATTATAAATAAAAATTATTATTATTATTATTATTATTATTATTCTTTCATCAATATGTATACATTCACTTATTCTTTCATCAATGTATACATGCACTTATTCTTTCATCAATGTATACATGCACTTATTCTTTCATCAATATGTATACATTCACTTATTCTTTCATCAATGTATACATGCACTTATTCTTTCATCAATGTATACATGCACTTATTCTTTCATCAATATGTATACATTCACTTATTCTTTCATCAATATGTATACATGCACTTATTCTTTCATCAATGTATACATGCACTTATTCTTTCATCAATGTATACATGCACTTATTCTTTCATCAATGTATACATGCACTTATTCTTTCGTCAATATGTTTAGATTCACTTATTATCTCATCATTATGGGGTTACTTATTCTCTCACAGAGAAGTGTTAAGAAGTGAGGACATTAAGTGGCCGTCGTGTCGTCATACCGTGAGTGAAGCAGCAGAAGTTAAGGTTGGCTGGCAGGACAAACAGCAGGAACACTATTAACATGGCCGGGGTCGCATCATTAACCTTCCTGTAATAACACAATATGCAAATTAACATTTTTGTGGTTAAATTATGGTTAAAGCCGGTCGGCCGAGCGGACAGCACGCGGGACTTGTGATCCTGTGGTCCTGGGTTCGATCCCAGGCGCCGGCGAGAAACAATGGGCAGAGTTTCTTTCACCCTATGCCCCTGTTACCTAGCAGTAAATAGGTACCTGGGTGTTAGTCAGCTGTCACGGGCTGCTTCCTGGGGGTGGAGGCCTGGTCGAAGACCGGGCCGCGGGGACACTAAAGCCCCGAAATCATCTCAAGATAATCTCAAGAAAGCTGTTTGTCACGTCTTCTGATAACACAGCTACACTATAGGACGGGAACTATCAGGGGGAAAGCACTAAGCCATTATGTATAGCACTTGGAAGGGGTCAGAATACGTTTTTGGGATGGGACGAGGGGAAGAAATGGTGCCCAACCACATGGACGATCGGGGATTGAACACCGACCTGCATGATGTGAGACCGTCGCTCTACCTTCCACCCTAAGTAGTTGGGGTGGACGACACCCCAACCACTTAAGAACAGACATACATTTTCTCCTATAGGAGAAAATGTTTATTTGTCTGTTTGTCCTTAAATGGAGGCCTCACGCATGGGTACATAGCTAAATATTTTCCAAAGTATCCTTTGAAAAAAACAAAATCTTGTAGTAATGGGGAGCCGGTCGGCCGAGCGGACAGCACGCTGGACTTGTGATCCTGTGGTCCCGGGTTCGATCCCGGGCACAGGCGAGAAACAATGGGCAGAGTTTCTTTCACCCTATGCTCCTGTTACCTAGCAGTAAAATAGGTACCTGGGTATTAGTCAGCTGTCACGGGCTGCTTCCTGGGGGTGGAGGCCTGGTCGAGGACCGGGCCACGGGGACACAAAAGCCCCGAAATCATCTCAAGATAACCTCAAGATATGCTCCATTATTCACTGTTCTCGGGAAATTTAACATACGTTTCTGTCGTCGATAATTTGGCCATATTGACACAAAACAGTTGTGAAGCTCCCGCCGCCTCAACGGTTTCTCAAGCCAGGAACCGTTAAACAGGAGAATATGGGGTTATCTTGAGGTTATCTTGAGATGATTTCGGGGCTTTAGTGTCCCCGCGGCCCGGTCCTCGACCAGGCCTCCACCCCCAGGAAGCAGCCCGTGACAGCTGACTTAACTCCCAGGTACCTATTTACTGCTAGGTAACAGGGGCATTCAGGGTGAAAGAAACTTTGCCCATATGTTTCTGCCTCGTGCGGGAATCGAACCCGCGCCACAGAATTACGAGTCCTGCGCGCTATCCACCAGGCTACCAGGCCCTCTGTAACAGGGGTAACTGTTACTGTTTTAGTATTTCACACCACTGAGCTTCTCTCACTCGCCACCTCCCATACATTACACAATTATAGGTTTTATAAGAGACAGACAGACAGACAAAGAGACAGAGAGACAGAGAGACAGACAGACAGACAGACAGACAGACAGACAAAGAGACAGAGAGACAGAGAGACAGACAGACAGACAGACAGACAAAGAGACAGAAACAAAGTGACAGAGAATTAAAGAGACAGAGAAAGTGAAAGAAACACAGACACAGAAACAGTAGACGGATTGATCGATGTGTAGATGGCTAGATAGATGGATAGATACATAGATAGATATATGGATTAATAGATGATTAGAAAGATGCATAGATAGATGATCAGAAAGATAGGGAGATATATATATATATATATATATATATATATATATATATATATATATATATATATGTCGTACCTAATAGCCAGAACGCACTTCTCAGCCTACTATTCAAGGCCCGATTTGCCTAATAAGCCAAGTTTTCATTAATTAATGTTTTTTCGTCTACCTAACCTACCTAACCTAACCTAACCTAGCTTTTTTTGGCTACCTAACCTAACCTTACCTATAAATATAGGTTAGGTTAGGTTAGGTAGGGTTGGTTAGGTTCGGTCATATATCTACGTTAATTTTAACTCCAATAAAAAAAAATTGACCTCATACATAGAGAAAAGGGTTGCTTTATCATTTCATAAGAAAAAAATTATATTAAATATATTAATTCAGGAAAACTTGGCTTATTAGGCAAATCGGGCCTTGAATAGTAGGCTGAGAAGTGAGTTCTGGCTACTAGGTACGACATATATATATATATATATATATATATATATATATATATATATATATATATATATATATATATATATATATATATATATATATATATATATATATATATATATATATATATATATATATATATATATATATATATATATATATATATATATATATATATATATAGATATATAGATATACGGATAGAAAGATGAGTAGGTAGATGGATAGGATAAATAAATAAATTGGATGAATAGATGGATAGGATGAATAAAGGGATAGGGTGAAAAGATGGAAAGATAGATGGAAGGATAAATTAATGAATAGATGGATGTACAGATGGATGGAGAGAGAGAGAGAGAGAGAGAGAGAGAGAGAGAGACAGACAGACAGACAGAGAGGCAGAGAGACAGAGAGACAGACAGACAGACAGAGAGACAGAGAGACAGACAGACAGACAGACAGACAGACAGACAGACAGACAGACAGACAGACAGACAGACAGACAGACAGACAGACAGACAGACAGACAGATACATGAGTAAATGGTTAAATAGATAAATAGATTGATGAATAGAAAGATAATAGAATAGACAAATGGATAGATGGACAGATACATTTCATCGTAAGTGCAGCGATGATGCGATACACTTCAGACGTAAGGCAGCGTCTGGGATACTCTCGGACGCAGGTTCGAACCCTCGTACTGGCTCTTGTGAATTTGTTCATTTGATGCATCAGGCTATTGTGATTTCTGTGTGTAACTTCAAAGATACATATAGATGGATAAGATCCATTTATAGATAGTTGAATGGATGGATAGATAGAAAAATAAGCGGATACATGGATGGATGGATGGATAGATGGATGGATAGATGGATGGACAAATAGACAGATGGATGAATAGACAGATGGACAGATGGGAGACAGACAGACCAGGCAACGCCGGATACGTGTAGCAAACGGTATAAATTTCAAGCTTAATTCAATTAATCAAATCGAATCTAAGACCACTCAACGGGTCGCCATTGCGTTGGATGTCGTATGGAAAGGCTCGAGCTTGCTGGTGCTTTACACGGCAATGCTCATTACTTCAGGAGGCCCACTTACTTCTCCCGAATATTCAGGATGAGAGTGGGGCTCACCTCCTAGTGCAATGCGCCTTGCCGACTATCACACCATTGGCTGATGTGGGCTGCGAGAGAGGGCACATCCGCTCCCGTATCTTGAGTATCTTGAGATGATTTCGGGGCTTTAGTGTCCCCGCGGCCCGGTCCTCGGCCAGGCCTCCACCCCCAGGAAGCAGCCCGTGACAGCTGACTAACTCCCAGGTACCTATTTACTGCTAGGTAACAGGGGCATTCAGGGTGAAAGAAACTTTGCCCATTTGTTTCTGCTTCGTGCGGGAATCGAACCCACGCCACAGAATTACGAGTCCTGCGCGCTATCCACCAGGCTACGAGGCCCCCCCGTGGCGAGGCCTACGGGAAACAGGAGGCCAGACACTGGATACCGAATGGAAGATGAAGTCCTGCATGAAACGGATAGAGAGAAAGATCTAGTAGTTGATATCATGCCAAACCTGTATCTTGAAGCCCACATAAAACGAATTGCATATGCGAGGCTGGCTAACATCAGAACAGCCTTCAGGAACCTGTGTAAGGAATCATTCAGAACCTTGTATACCACATATGTAAGACCAATCCTGAAGTATGCGGCCCCAGCATGGAGCCCGTACCTTGTCAAGCACAAGACGAAGCTGGAAAAAGTTCAGAGGTTTGCCACTAGGCTACTCCCAGAACTAAGAGGCATGAGTTACGAGGAAAGACTGCGTGAACTGCACCTTACGTCGCTGGAAGACAGAATAGCTAGGGGAGACATGATCATTCCATACAAAATTCTCAGGGGGGAATGGACAGAGTAGACAAGGATGGATTATTTAACACGGGTGGTACACGCACAAGGAAACACAGGTGGAAGCTGAGTACTCAAATGAGCCACAGAGATATTAGAAAGAACTTTTTCAGTGTCAGAATAGTTAGTAAATGGAATGCACTAGGAAGTGATGTGGTGGAAGCTGACTCCATACACAATTTAAAATGTAGATATGATAGAGTTCGAGAAACTCAGGAGCCTGTGCACCAGTAGATTGACGGTTGACAGGTGGAACCAAAGAGCCAAAGCTCAACCCCTGAAAGTACAACTAGTTGATTACAACTATGTGAGTATACAGACACACACACACACACACACACACACACACACACACAGGAGGGAGCAGGAGACCAGATACAAGGAATCATTTGGGAGATAAAATACTTCAAGAGTCTGAGAGAGAGAAACACCTGGGGGTTGATATCACACTCTGGTTTCTTTTTCCCTGGTGCATCCGTTCACCTAGCAGTAAATTGGTACCTTGGAGTTGAGGAGGTGGTACTGGCTGCTTCCATGGGAAGTGTGTGAGTGTGCGTGTGTTAAAGAGCAATATATATAGTAGATATAATAGAGGAAAAATAGATTACTTACAAAGGCGGGGTCCAAGAGCTAATAGCTTGATTCTTCAGACACAAATGGTAACTACACACGCACGCATGCGCGCAGACAGACAGACACAAACACACACACACACACACACACACACACACACACACACACACACACACACACACACACACACACACACACACACACACACACACACACACACAGGCCTACGAGGCCCCAAGGGGCCTCGTAGCCTGGTGGATAGCGCGCAGGATTCGTAATTCTGTGGCGCGGGTTCGATTCCCGCACGAGGCAGAAACAAATGGGCAAAGTTTCTTTCACCCTGAATGCCCCTGTTACCTAGCAGTAAATAGGT